TACAAAAAAGTTAGCCAACCGCTGGTCTAGGCATATGTTTGCCCATTGCTATGCTTTATATATAGAGAATTTAACTTACACAAAAACTATAAATGCTCAGTATATTCTCGAACAAATCTCCATAACAATCTCTAGCTGCAGCTTAACAAAAACTATAAATGCTCGGTATATTCTTGAACAAATCTCCATAACAATCTCTAGCTGCAGCTTAACAAAAACTATAAATGCTCGGTATATTCTTGAACAAATCTCCATAACAATCTCTAGCTGCAGCTTAACAAAAACTATAAATGCTCAGTATATTCTTGAACAAATCTCCATAACAATCTCTAGCTGCAGCTTAACATTTTACACCTCGAACTAATGCGATCAAATACTCAATAGCTACAGTAAATCACCAAGAACTATATCAGCTAGCTACTAGCTATATTTATTATCATTATAGTGTATAAAGTTAACTACCATATCAAGTAATACTTTTCCCACAGTTGAACATAATAAAGGCCAGCAAACAAGATAAATAAAAAATTAGGAATTTAAAAACCCACAAGTAGGGATTTTAAAAAAAATAACGAAACCAGGTCGGACATTGTTTACTCAAACTATAAATCCCTATTTTGACTCCACAAAATGTAATTCCAGTTAACAGTATGGATCCAAAATAGGGGTTTGTAGTTTGAGTAAGTAATGTCTACAGTACCTCCAGCCCTGTTTTCTTACTTTTTTTATGATCCCTATTTGCTGGTTTTGAAATTCCCAATTTTTTTATTTATGAAGCATGTCTTGTCTATCTTGTTAGCAAAAAAGTTGTTATTTAGTCTTTTCTAGTGTCATTTCGAAAGGTCAACTTCTAACTCACTGACAAATCTTTGCGATTTTTGCCATGCTTTTATGATTTATTGTATGAATTAGTAACTACTGCAATCTTTAAAATAAAGTTTCAAAGTAAATATGTTACTGAATATTAATCAAGTTGATATGTTAACGATTTGATATGTTAAATGGAACTTACTGATTAGCAATATAACCAATTGAAATTCTACGATCAAAAGGAAATATTTTTAATGTTTTTTCAAAAGAATGTCTCTCAGAAAATTGTTGGAAGTTATACAATGAAAAACATATTTCTAAAAGTAAATAAAATTATATGATTTTTTAAAATTCAAAACTACATTATATTCAGTAAGATGATACTGCCTTTAAGCACATGTTTTGGATGAAGTTTTTTTAAGTTGGTTAGAAAGATCAACATTGGTCAACCATTTGAGAAAAAGTTCTTTGCCATCTTTGAACTTTGGTTTGATAATTGTAACTGTTAGTCTGAGTTTGAATTGTTTGGCACGCTTGGTAGACGTTATTCATACACCTGTTGGAGTTAAATTGAATTGTTCAAGCAGAATTATTCCCATCAAATGTAGTGATAACGTATTAAACTTGTGTTTTCCTGAAAAGAAACCACCCCTGCAGTTTACATTTTTTATAGGCAGGTCTCCAAAATTTGTGGAGCTCATCATACAGGACAGGTAGTTGTATATGCAAAGAGCTATGGTAACTTTTCATAAAATTTGGTTAAGTATTTCCACTGTGAGAAGAAGAAAAGTCAAAGGATGTCAATAACATCCCCTTCCTTAGTCCAGAATGGGATAATTTTCTTTTTATATTCAGGATAATAAACCCACTTTTAATGTAATAATCAGGGCTCAAAGTAG